ATATAAGATACAACATGCAGCATACTATTATGTAAAAATGATATTATATCAACCTCCGATTTGAATAAAAATAAATTGAATATAATAAACTCTCTAATAATTAGTCAATAGCCTAATCACGTTATATTACTAGTTTCCTTTAAATCAACAAACTCAAGCAACATTGATATGGTTTATAAAATTAATGGGGAATTGTTGACCCCCGTTCTCGAAGAAACAAAAGAAGAAAAAAAAAAGAACTCGCGAGCTGTTGACTTCCAGAGATAAAAAGTAAAAAAGGGATAGGTGTGAAAAGGTATTCGTAAAGATGAGTAACTCCGAATCCGTAAAAGGGAAAATAAAAAGATACAAAATATATTGATCTTTGCGCGTGGCATATTATTCCCTAGAAAAATAGTCCCCCAAATTTTCTGAGTTTCATTTTGATTCCATTTATCTTATTACTACTCTGACATTTTTTATATTAAAAAACTAAAATAGTTATGACAATATTCGTATAGTGTCGTATAAAGTGTCACAGATTTTTACAATTGTAGAACTATCCTTTGAATAATTATATTAAACTATATTAAATATGTATATAAAATAGAAAAATTCATAATAAATAGAAATAAAAAATACTTACAAGCAATTGTAGAGGAGGGAATCGACGATTTTGACTGTAAAACACGTGGCACCGTTTAAACAGTACCATTGCGCATAATCCGGAGGACACGTATACATGTGGAATGTGATATTTGGCCGAGGTGTCGGCGTTGGTGGTCGTGGCTTTGGTGTTGACCGCGACGAACAGGCATCTGTATTTTGTTTTAATGTAACAGAAAAAAAAAAAGACAATTATTATTATTATTATTTTTTCGATTAGACAAAAAGGAAGAGATAGAGAGAGAAAATGAGAAAGAGAAATAACATATTAGTCATTTCTATTTATATTCTAAAAAATTCTATCAATAACTTTTGTCTCTTTTATACACATATTTTTATATTTATACTTTTTTATATTTTATACACTGTTATAAAAAATAAATATACACGAAGAAGAAAAACAAAAACAAAAAAATATAAAATAAAATAAGAACAAGATCCTTTCTACCACCACCCACCGCCCCCCATTTTATTTTCTTTATCTAAAATAAAAAAAAAAAAAAAAGATCGATCGACCAAACCGAATGAAAAAAATTCGTTAATTATGATTGAAGAAAATAAGAAAGATGGAAAAGGATAGATAGATGTACACATGGAGGTATATAACGGTACGTCGGATGCGATTCAATCACAACTTGAACTAATGGACGTTGGATCGTTTATCCCATTATTATAGGTAGAGGAGAAAAAAGGAGGGGTAGATGGTAGAGAGGGGGGGGGGAAGGACTGAGAAAAGGTATAGAAAGGGAGAAAAATAGGGGCGTTTGTCGAGACAAATCGAATCATCGAATTACAAACTTTTCACAGTTTTCAGGTTTATGGGGGTGGAGGAGTGGGGGTAATGAACTCACAGTTATGGTATTTTCGATGTAACCTCTCCCCTCCCCTTCTTCTCTCTCTCTCGTCTTGATTAGTTAATTCTTTTTTTTTTTAGCAACTTTGATCGGATACAAACTCAGCACACGTGCTCGTATCTTTTTGCGTATGCGTACAAACAACACACACACAACATATACCATACACACATACACGTGCGCGAAGACGGGGATGAGGTAGAAGTAAAAGTAACGTAGAGGTGGAGGTGGTGATGGGTGTGAGGGTGAGGGTGAGGGCGGGTCGGGGGAGGTGGATCCTTCCTCGTACGTACAACAGAGCGGTTCTCGTATCAGAAAACTGCTGCACTCTGCATCTGCCCCCCGAAAAAGTAAAATATATCGAGCGCTTCGCGGCGTTCTCTATCTGTCACCTGTTGCAATTTTACAATCTGCCGTTTGGCGTGCGTGACCCCACAAAAAAAAATGAAAAAAAATGAAAAAAAGAAAAAATTCCAGAAAGAATAACGAATAATAATAATAATAATAATAATAATGATAATGATAATAATAAGAAAAGAAAGGGAAAAAAATGAAAAGTAATGAAAATTAAGCGTATACGCGATTTTATTCTCGACTCTATCTACCCCACCCCCCACCCCCATCCTTTTCACAGTCTTTCTTTTTTGTTTAAATATAAAAGTCGAAAAATACCAGGACAGGGTGGTATTACCCACGCGTGCCTGGGTAATTCTTTTTTTGCTGGTACCTCCCGTTCTGTCACCTGACACACATATACACATATACCACCACGCTACAGAGCAAATTATTATTGCTTAAAAAAAAGTAAGGGTTTTCTGGAGGGATGATTATTAAAGAGTGAAGTGACGGCTATGTGCGATAAAAGGAAAACGTTTCTCGAGTTAATTTTCAGTTTTTTTTCCCCTCTTTTTTTTTTACGGTTGGAAGAAAGCTTTAATTCTAATTTGTTAAATAAATTTCTATAATAGAATATATTATTTTGAATCGCGAAATATATTTGTGGATTTATTTATAATGTTTATAATAATTAATTACGTACGTCGCCGAATGATAATTGTCGTACGTATATATATATTATGTAAAAGAAATGTTTGTTTTGTTAATAGAAGGAAAAAAAAAATGTGAAAGATGAAAAAGAAAACTTGTAAAATTTGGATACACTAACCTGTCATACCAAAGAGGGTATAAGAGATGATGAGTAATGTCGCGAGGTACGGTTGAATCTTGTTTCTTCTCATAACGGCAGTGACACTCCTAGATGTGTTGCTATCTTCAGGTTGGACAAGTGGAATAATAGGTGAAGACGACGATATGGAAGAAGTGGTGTTGCTCTTGCTGTCGCTATCATTGGTATTGGTTGTCGTCGTTATTGTCGTCGTCGTCGTCGTCGTCGTCATCGTTGTCGTCATCGTCGTTGTCGTCGAAGAAGAAGAAGAAGAAGAAGAGGAACAAGAAGAAGAAGAAGAAGAAGAAGACGAAGAACAAGAAGAAGAAGAATGAGATATATTTTCTCGTCTTCGTTCCTTCCGAAGACGTTGTTGAAGATCATCTAGTTGCTGATGATGTTGATGATGAGGACTTTGATGAGGTTGTTGTTGTTGGTCCTGTTGTTGGTCATGTTGTTGGTGATAATGACAATGATGACGATGATGATGATTATGATGGTAATGGTGATGGTGGTGGTGGTGATGGTGGTGATGATGATGAGGATGATGATGACTATGATGAGGATGTTGATGATGCCTATTATAATGAGGACGATTTTGATACTGTTGACAATCTTGACGATGTTGATGTTGATAATGACGGTGTTGTTGATGTTCAAGTTGATGACAATAACTATAATGCAAATGATGTTGACGATGAAGATAACGTAAATCTGCAATATCCCACGAGGAGGGTTGCTGTTGTTCTTCAGAACAATGCGATAATGACGAATCGGTGCAATAATCCTCTTCTAAATGATTATAATCTTCAATCATGATATTTTCATCTATCGTTGGATTAGCGAGATCAAGGTTTTTACGTTGATGACAACAATGATTACGTGGATGGTGCCTATAATATTGTTGATAACGATGATGATTCTTGCTGCCGTCGTTCATGATGATGTTATTGGTACTTGTGGTTATACTGTTATTGATGTTATTACTGTTGGTGTTATTATCGCAACAACAGAGTTCTTCATCGTCCGTCACTACAACGTCCGAACTACAACTAACTTCTTCAATAATCCCGTTTTCTCTTCCTATCATCATCTGGCATCCCCCGTTTGCCATAAGGGCACCTCCAATCGTGTTGGTGGTGGTGCTGTTGCTGCTGCTGTCGTTGCTGCTGCTGCTGTTGCTTTCAGCTACTAACGTCGTCATCTTTGTCATCTTCGTCATCGTGGTCGTGGTCGTGGTCGTCGTCATGGTCGTAGTCGTTGCCGTCGTTGTCGGACCAACCGTTGCTGTTGCTGCTGCTGCTGCCACCATAGTTGCCGTCCCAGCAGCTTTTTCTGTTTCCTCGACAGCACGAGCCGTTCCACCTGGGCCAGAACTCCGGCGCACGTGTCGCCGCCTCCCTGTAACCAAATATCCAACAGGCCGCACGTTTACAGTGTGTTATATCTCGGCCAAAGTCTACTCGATCTATCTCTCCCTTAGGGCTAACAACAACTCGAGTGTGTTACTCGAGTATACTCTTACCCCCACTCACTCATTTACTCACTCACTCACACACTCACTCACAAACTCTCGCACTCTTAATATCTATATCTATATCAATATCCGTACTATCTCCTCTCACTCATATGTACACGTATAGCTGAACGTTTTATAAGAGTTCTTTTCTAACTTCTCACTAACACGCCCCCCCACCCCGACTATAACCACCCGTCCTTAAACAACTTGTAAATATTTATAAGATATAATAGAAAAGCGCAAATGCTTTTGCAAAAGGTATGTGCTTTAAGAGGGTTTGTTTGCCTTCAAAACATTTACCGTGAAAGAAAGCTGTTTTCACAGTGGCATCCTTTTCCATCCTTCCCTTCCCTTCCTTTTAGCCATCTGCTTCCACCCCCTCCTCTTTTCTCTCACTTTTCTCTATCTCACTTTATCTCAATCTTCCCTTTTTCGTCTGTCTCTTTTGCATTTTCCTAGAGAGTAGTCCCCAGTCATTCGTAGGCTTTGCACAAGCCGGTTTGTGTAAAGTTTATCGAATTATGGATTCCCTAAAGCGTGCGCCGTTATTGACTTAACTCCGTGCCAGGCGCAGCCTGAGAGAAGAGGAAAGGTCCTCGAAGGAATATAAAGGATCATTATGTGTCTGACGCTTTGCTTCTCGAGAGAGAGAGAGAGAGAAAAAAATTTTTCTACAGCTTTATAACACAATGCCTGGTGTTCTGTACGTAGCCGGTGAAAAAAGGACGGCTGCTTTTTTTTACGTATATGTTTGTATGTGAGAGCACCATGAAGAGATTCAGAGAGAGAGAGAGAGAGAGAGAGGATAAATTTTTCATATATGTTTGATTTCAAACAGAGCACATTTGTGTGTCTCTATTATCGAAATAAAATATAGATATTTTGATTAAATGTGATAAATATATGAATATTATTATCATAATAACTATACACGTTAATTATTGTATAGATGTAGGTATATATGAATGATCATTATAATGAAAATGAAGATGAAGAAGAGAATAAGAAGTAAGAGTTAGAAGGGGGAAGATGGAAGAAGGAAGTAGTTGGGTTAAAATGTAAACGGAAGTTATGAATACGTGCAATTAGAAAATAACCTAAATTTAAAAAGTATGAGAATAATATACTCAGGAATACGTATATATATATATGTGTGTGTCTGTGTACGTGTTTAAGATAATTTTCATACTAAAGAGAAAGATGTAAAGATGAAGAAGAAGAAGAAGAAGAAGAATAAGAAAAAGGAGAAGAATAAGAATAAGAAGAAACTAGAAGGAAGGAGAGAAACACGCTGAGGCATTTAACGTCTCTGTTGAGGAAAGGGAAATAGCCAATTATTAAGAGAACTGCATGTGGGCTGTGGACCGTACTTAAACTCACCGGCTGATGACTGCATTGTCTTTCTTTCTCTTTCTCACTCTATATTTCTATTCTTTTTTCGTGTCTTGCCGTGTCACCTACTTATCGTTAGCAATGAATACCCTCTTTTTCTTTTTCTTTTTTTTAAAAGGATTTATTGCGAGTGCACAAGTACTCATAACTCATTCTTTCTCTCTTTCTCTATGTGGTTTCTTTTTTTAATATTTAATACAATTTTTTATTTCTTCTAAAAGAATATTTATAGGTATAGGTATATATATATTTTCTTACATTAAATATGTATGGGGAAAAAAAAACAAGAATAATTTATTAATCTTCAAAATATATTTTATGAATTTAAATAAATTTGAATTATTTGTTCATAAATATAGAAAAGTTACACAAATCCCATTGACGTTTTACGTAACTATTAAACATTATTATTATTATTATTACACAACATTTATATAGAACGTTCTAGAATCCAACTTACTAACGATTAGTAAAAAGCTGCTAAGTCAAGTGCAAATAAGTGTTATATTAGACCACACAAGAGAGAAAAAGAGAAATAGAGAGAGAGAGAGAGAGGGGGAGAGAAAGAGAGTGTCAAGAGTGTCGCAATGCACAACTGTGATATATCGTTGTCGCACACGAACTTCTACTACTATACAAAATCTATCTAATATATATATATATATAATACACATAAAAGTAAGTATATACACATTCAAACACGATATTCGATTTTAATATTAGAAAGAGGGAGAAGACTATATACAAGATAGTCAGGGAAATAGGGGATAAATAAATAAAGAAATAAAGAAAGAAAGAAAGAAAAAAGAAAAGAAATGATTTTCCAAAAAGAGAGAGAGAAAGATAGAGGACTAGTCCAGGGGGACCAGCTGCGTGTCTCGTCGTCTAAACACGGAAATACGTATAAGTCCGAATATGTTATGGGACGTTTGAAAAAAAAAAGAAAAAATTTCATCACGCGTCTGGCTCGTGCAGGAGGCCCTCCAGTAATAGGAGGAGAGAGAGAGATGATGTCTGGGACAGTTTAAGGCCCCTCTTGAAATCGTCGTCTTCATCTCCCTTCCTCTTTATTTCTTTCTCTTTCTCTTTCTCTTTTCTCTCTTTAACGATTCACCCTATTTTTCGAAACGACCACCAGCTGAAACGTTCACGAGATATCTCTAAAGTAGATCCTAGAAGACTAGTGTACTGTCGAATAAAAGAGGGGTGCGTTCAACCTCACTCTTTTACTTGCATTCAATTTTACGAGGGTTATATGTATAGTTATAAGATAGAAATGATATATGTGTTATGTATATAAATAAAATATATTTATGAGATCTTTCAGAAGTATATTTATAATTATGTCAGAATTTGTCTGTTTAAATGTATACAGTTATTAGATTAAATATATGTATGTATATGTATATATAATTCGATAAAATCTTATGGAAGTTATGTACATAGATAAGATATCTGAAGGTATTGTAAATTAGTGGGTAACATGTATGGAAAAATTTGATTAGACGAGATTTTCATTTTGGCATACTTTTTTTTTTTTTCTAAACACATTAGTTTTCTTTTTAATATTATATTTTTATGATTGCATTATTGAAGTTATAATTCTTTTGTCGCGTTTTCGAAAGTGAAGTTAGATGCGACCGAAAAATCGACACCACGAAGTTGTCGATATTTACGCGATGCGCGCGCAAATTGAACTTATTTTTGAGGTTATGATTCGTTTTGGTACGCTAAAGAAGTATAACTTCTTACGTGTGTACATAAGTACACACATCAGTTTTTTTTTTTTATTAATATATAAAAAAAACTTTGTTTTATATATAACATTTGTGGTGTTGTTTTATGCCAAATATTGGTAATCTTTGTATTTATCCCTAGAAAATAATAATAATATATAACTCGATATTTTCGGAAAAATCTATTTGAAAATAAATAAATAAAAAATGAAGAACAAAAAAGGTAAAGATGAGAATAAGTGTACGAGGTCGAGAAGTGATATAGGTGGGGGTAGGGAGGAGGTGGAACGTGGCTTGCAGCTGAGAATCCCTTCAAAGGACATCGAAAAGGATCTTAAATACTGGCACGCGCCCGGAAGTACATGAATGAACGAATGAACCAACGAACCAACGAACGTACCAACGAATGAAGGAACGATAAGAATTTCGTAATGGTCTCTCTTTTTTCTGACGTGAACATAAATGAAAGAAGCAGAAGAAGAAGAAGAAGAAGAGGCAGAGAAGGTCCTGTATATTTAGGAAATATCTTCGTTTCTTGACCACTAAAGGAAGAAAGGAAGGAAGAAAGGATTGAACGACGACTATAGTCGTCGTCTATCGTCATTGGCACGAGTCAAACGTGTGCAACAACGATGCACATATAGTATGCCAAAAAAGAAGCATTCGTATTTCTTTTTTTTTCTTTCTCTCCTTTTCTCTTTTACTTCTACTTCTTCCTACCTCTTCTTCTTATTCTTATTCTTTTTTACGTAAACGAGAAGCCAGGGATCGCACATGTTCCTCTTACGTCTATTCAGACGATCGCAGCTGCCGAACACGAGCGATGTGTATGTTTTTTTTTTATTTTTTATTTATATGAGGAAATTTTAATTATCTTTTTCTTACTTCTTTCTTTTCTTTTAAATTAAATTAAAATTAACAGTCATTTTTATATTTATACGATCAGTCATTTTTAAATATTTCTCTAATTGAAGTATAAAAATTATTTAAATATCAGCATTGATAAGTGGTCAATACTAACAAAAAATTATGCACACATATATATATTCATGTAAAATAAATTAAATAAAACATAATATACATGACATATATAACATTAATTTTGATCAGATAAAAATTGTAATTTCTAAACAATGTAATTTTTTCTTTTTTTAAATGATGACTTTATAAATCTTACTTTTGAATATATCATATTACAAAATACTCTACAAAATTATACAAAAGATCGCACATACTTAAATGAAAATAATCAATTGATAGAATAAAAGGGTGGGTGGAGGGTGAGCTAAAGAAGGCAATACAAATACAAAAAAAGAAGAAAAAGAAGAAAAACTTGGCGAAAATAAAAGAAAAAGTAAGAGGAATAAAAAAGAAGGGATGAAAATGATGGGCCTGACGGTCTCCGAAACGGTGGCAGGGGCCGAGGGGTGGCATACTGATGTGGTATGACTGTGGTATGACGGTAGTGATGATGGAAGTGGTAGTAGTGGGGGGTTAAAAAAAGAGAAAGAGAGAGAGAGTAAATTTTATAGGGCGCGTGCCTGGGTCCTAAAAGAAGAAACGATAGGACGAGCAAGCAAGCAAGCAAGCAAACGTGCGTTGCGAAAAAGCGAGCAGGTAATGACGTTGAAGGGCGTTCGGCAGCTGCACGCCCTGAATACCTACCGGCCCGCACGAGGTGGAACATGTGCGGTCCCGTTTTTGAACAACGGGTGTACACGCACATATATATATATACACATACGAAATACACA